GATAATAATTTTATGTTGAAAAGTTCATTGAAATGACATAAAACAACTTATTTTTTCCATCTTATTTTTAAAAAATAAGAGTCTGTTTGATTGCAAAAATGAAATTTGGGTGGAAAGAAAATGAATTCTAGATAATTGAATTGCCTAGAGCTTGTTTTACTGGGAATTGTAAATTAAATGTGTTTGATTGGTATAATTTTAATCTGAAAAATGTTGAAATTTTGGATCTTTTGGTGTTCGTTTGACTTTATTTTTATAAAAAATTTCTATTATAGGGATAGAATTTGTTATCATTTTGCATAGAATTTGTTTCCATTGTAAAAAAATGAAAAAAAAAACCTGGAAAACGATTTCTCACCAAACTCATGGAAATTAAAATTCCACAAAACTAAGGAAAAAGATGTCACGTGGGCGTGGTGGGATGGAAAACGAATTTCGGAGAAAATTTTTACAATCAAATAAGGACAAGGGTGGAAAATTCATCAAATCAAATCGGGAAATTTTTGCAATCCAACAAGAAAAATGGAATAAAATTTCCATTTTCCATGGAAAATTCATCAAATCAAACAAGCCCTAAATGAATAAAAAGTACGGAGAATACTTTTCCCTCATTTCAAAGCATGAACATAAAATATTTTGATATAAATCATCATTAAGGATGAGACGTAATAATTAAATTAAAGGTTGAAGATAAGAATTCGGTGGAAAAAAGTTAAAAAAAATAATTGCTAAAATAAACAAAGATTGAAAAGTTTAACTATAATTAAAATGTGGTGTATCAAATAAAATTGTGATGACAATATAACCACTTTAAATTAAATTAAATCCATTCAATTTGTATGCAGTATTCATTCCACAAAATGTCATTTATATCCTTTCTTAATACAAAAGCTTCAATTCTCTTCCGAACTTCAATCACCATTCAACGGAGGTTTCTTTGTAGTTTGTCGAGGAAGAAAAAGTGCATCGACCGACTTGAAATTCATTTTTGTGCACTCAGATACTGTCGGTCCAATTTAAATTGTAAGTCATGGAGTGTCGAAGCTTTTTCTTTTCGCTTAAGTTTAATAAAATATTTTCGATAAAAATTTGTGGAATTTCTATGCATAATTGCACCTGCTTGGTTGTCTTCTTTTAATAATATATATAAGAGAAACTTATGCATACAGAGGACATTAATTTTGAATTTAGGGAGTTAAATTATTTATACACTCAACACCGTTCTTTATTTTGATTTTTTTAAATATATTTATTAATTTATCTTTATCTCTTATTTAATATATTTGTTTTATAGGTCAACGGTCAATCAATTCAAATATGATTTAGATAATTTCGATAGTAAATTATTTAAGTATGAAATATATTAAATACAATCAATTTAAACTAAGAATTGAGAGTTTTGACTCTTTAAATTTAAAGACTTAAATAAAATCTCTATTTTAATTTATGTTATTTTAATTTATGTTTAAGTATTGATTCTTTAAAATAGAGAATATATTTAAAAAGTCTCTACGAAGTACACTAACGACCTTGATTATCTGCTTTTCCAAAAATATACCGCATTTGAATAGCTTTCTCTTAAAATTATGATGTTCTCAATTCATTTAAATTTTCTTGTGCTCTTTTAGGAGTGGATCACCATGTCCCCCCTCGACCCCGGCCCCTTTAAAAATGCTTTATCTATGTGTCAAAAGAAAAGTGTGAAAATAAATTTTTTATCTTTCTTTTTGCAATCCACTAAAGACCAATTTTCCTGAGAGATTCTCCATGTCTGCCATGCTTGAAAACATGCTATTGAAAATTGAAGGCATCTGACAAAAGCTTGAATTATTTGGAAGAAGGGGAATCACTTCTGTCGAAAAATATCTGAATTATTTTGAAGAGTGACCCTTTTTACTGTTTAAAGTAATTCATTGGAATTAGACTTTGCTGTGATATGAACTTAATGATGAAATAAAGTATAGTTCAAATGAAAGCCAAAACAGTCATCTTCTTTTTTATTAGAACAGTTTGGGACTCATTTTCATGTAAAAATATATTTTAGAATAGTAAATTGATGGGAAATGTGTGAATTGTGATTAAAAAATGAGAAATTTTTTTTGATTTATGTGTAATATTATTTTAATAAAAATTGTGTGGTTGAAAAGAAGAGAGAGAAAAATACATTTTGAAAAAAAAAAAGGTACCAAACAGGAGCTAGGGCCAAGACTTCATTGTCGTAACCGAAACTTGAATTGCTACCTTTGAAGAAATGCTGCCAATAATCTTTGTCATACCTTGAGGACTTGAATATAGAGCCAACGTTGTCATTATTTGTTATTTTTTAGAGAAAATTGAATTTTTTTCTGTTGTTATGCTGGGGAAATGACAACAATGCCCTAGACATAAATATCACCATCCACCCTAATTGGAGGTAGCTTCGTAAATTCCACATTGTGGTGGAATGACATGAAAATAATTGGTCAACCGTGTGACAGAAAAGTTGAAAGCTTTCACGTAGCTCATTCTACGAAAGTTCTTTGTTAATACAGAGGAATTAATCCAAGTTGATAATTAAGCTCTTATTCGGCAATCATTCTTTCTCATTTTCCGTTTTACTCTTACTCATTTTTAACTACAATTCTCACCAAGAAAATATTTTTCATTTAAGCGTCAAATTTTTTCTTATTTTTTAAACACATATTCCCTCAAAATTTATTATTAAAAAACTCATTCTTTTCCCTAAAAAGAAAAAAAAGAAAAACTATCAATAAGACAAAGAATCGCTCTCTTTAATTTTTTAATTATCAAAATAATCTTCTTCTACTTAAAAATAGATAAATCACATATTTCATTATAAAAATATCTTTTGATCGAGTTGTAAGTCATTGGGGGTGGTATGAGACGCACATTCAATGATTAGACAAATAAAATGAAAATATTGATATAAATTCGTAACAAGATATTGTAGTTATATTGGAACATCAATTTGGTTGATTACCCTTCAATTTTTTTTTTTAATTGACGAGAGAGCCCGCAGCCGTTACTCTTCGGGTGCGCATTGGGAAAACCCTCAATCTGACGCAATAGTCTGCAAATCATGTCAGTCAGGTAAATCGCACTAGATATGCCCTATGCGACATGCTCGTCAATTTGTTTTAATCATTAAAAGGGCTATAATTATCAAATACCTATATCAGCAGTATTAAATGAAGACTTGCGCTTGTAGTCAACTCGTGCCTATCCAGGAACCTATCCTGTTTCTTCCTAAATCTGCCACTGAATTAAATTAAATCCATTCAATTTGTATGCATTATTAATTCCACAAAATGTCATTTATACCCTTTTTTTTAATACAAAAGCTTCAATTTTCTACCTAACTCCAATCACCATTCACCCGGCAGTTTCTTTGTAGTTTCTCGAGGAAGAATTATGCTGCCTGTCCAATTTAATAAAATATTTTCCTTTCACTTAAGTTTAATAAAATATTTTTGATAAAAAATTGTGGAATTTCTATGCATATATAATTTGAGGAAGAATGATGATGCACGTCCAATTTAATAAAATATTTTCTTTTCTCTTAAGTTTAATAAAATATTTTTGATAAAAAATTGTGGAATTTCTATGCATATATAATTTGAGGGAGAATGATGCTGCCTGTCCAATTTAATAAAATATTTTCTTTTCGCTTAAGTTTGATAAAATATTTTTGATAAAAAAATGTGGAATTTCTATGCATATTAATTTGAACTTCAAACTTTTTCTTATTTTTTAAACACATATTCTCTCATCCCCCACCCCCCGGCAAGAAAAAAAAAATGTATCAATAAGATAAAGAATACTTTCTCTTAAATTTTTTAATTATCAAAATAATCTTTTTCTTTACTTAAAAATAAATAAATCACATATTTCATTATAAAAAAATCTTTTGACAAGTTGCAAGTAGGGGTGGGCACGGGTCGGTTCGGTTCGGTTCTAAAGAGAACCGAACCGAACCAAAATTTTCGGGTATCTAGTAAATGGAACCGTCGGGTCCAAATATAATTATGGAACCGTTCGGGTTCGGTTCCGTTCAGTTTGGTTCGGTTCCATTCGGTTCTGTACTATAATTAAATTTTTAACATTTATAACAACATTTTATAAATATAACTAATGATACATTCAATGGTTTTGGAATGTTAAAGACTAGTAAACTATCTTGTTCAAATGATCGCTACAGTCAAAGTTTCGATCGGCGGAGGTCACAGCTTCGATCGGAGGTCACAGTATCGACCGACAATTGTATAGGTTTTGGAATATTAGCGAGGTTAGGAGGGTGAGTACGAGAGTCAAGACAACGTTATGCACTTTAGTGTAGGTGTTTAGGGTTATTTAGTGGATTAGATCTTGTTGGATTAAAAAATGAAACAATAAAATGGTTAATTGGACCAAAAATTAAAAAATTAGAAATGAAACTAATTACTGGGCTAAAAATTTGGATTTAGAAATTGTTAATTTGTTTAGAAAAATTAAAATTAAAATAATTTGATTTACTCAATATAAAAAAAATAAATTAGAAAGATTCGGTTCTTATTCGATTCTTCGGTTCTTGGTCTAGAACAGAGAATCGAACCGTACCCGTCGGTTTTCAATTCAGATGCCCGTTCGAGTATTTAATTTGACAAGAACCGTCGAGTTTGGTTCGGTTCGGTTCAGTTCGGGAGATTTGCCCAACCCTAGTTGCAAGGCATAGGGGTGGTATGAAACACACATTCAATGGTTAGAAAAATAAAATGAAAATACTGATATAAATGTTATAAGAAATAAATTTGTAGTTATATTGGAACATCAATTTAGTTGATTACTCTTCAATTTGTTTAAATCATTAAAAGGGCTATAATTATTAAATACCTAAATCAGCATTATTAAATGAAGACTTACGCTTGTAGTCAACTCGTGCCCATCCAGGAACCTTCCATGTTTCTTCCTAAATCTGCCACTAAATTAAATTAGATCCATTCAATTTGTATGCATTATTAATTCCACAAAGTGTCATTTATACCCTTTTTTTAATACAAAAGCTTCAATTTTCTCCCGAACTCCAATCACCATTCGCCCGACAGTTTCTTTGTAGTTTCTCGAGGAAGAAAAAGTGCATCAACGACGGTTTCTTTATAGTTTCTTGAGGAAGAATGATGCTGCTGGTCCAATTTAAATTGTAAGTCATGGTGTCGAAACTTTTTCTTTTCGCTTAAGTTTAATAAAATATTTTCGATAAAAATTTGTGGAATTTCTATGCATAATTGCACCTGCTTGGTTGTCTTTCTTTTAATAATATATAAGAGCAACTTATGCATACAGAAGACATCTTTAAATTCAGCGAGTGAAATTATTTATACACTCTAACAATTACTGTAAACGAGGAATTGAGAGTTTTGACTCTTTAAATTTAAAGATTCAAACACACTCTCTATTTTAACTTTATTTTAAGTCTATTTGAATTTATGTTTAAGTATTGATTCTCTAAAATAGAGAATATAAAAAGTCTTTAGGCACTACACTAATGTCCTTGATTATCTGCTTTTCTAAAATATACCACATTTGAATAGTTTTCTCTTAAAAATTATGATGTTCTCAATTCATTTACCTTTTTTTGTGCTCTTTTAGTAGTGGATCGCCAATTTTTTTTATTTTTTATTTATTAAAAATGCTTATCTATGTGTCAAAAGAAAAGTGTGAAAATAAATTTTTTATCTTGCTTTTTGCAATCCATTAAAGACTGATTATGGTGGAATGGCACGAAAAAATTGGTCAATTGTGTGATAGAAAAGTTGAAAGCTTTTATGTACCTCATTTTACGAAGGTTCTTTGTTAATTGTTAATGCAGAGAAATTTATACAAGTTGATAGTTAAGCCTTATTTGACAATCATTCTTTCTCATTTTCTTTTTTCCTCATACTCATTTTTAACTAAGAGTGAACCCTTTTTACTGTTTTAATTAATTCATTGGAATTAGACTTTCTTGTTATTGAACTAAGTATCTGTTTGATTGTAAGAATAAAATTCAGGTAGAAAGAAAATGAATTTCAGTTAATTGAATTGCCTAGAAATTATTTTACTGAGAATTGTCAATTACATATGTTTGATTGTTATAATTTTTCACCTAGAAATGTTGAAATTTTGGATCTTTTGGTGTTCTTTGGCCTTGTTTTTCATAAAAATTGTCAATTAAAAGGATGTAATTTATTAAAATTGTGAACAGAGTTTGCTTCCATTGTCAAAAAAAAAAAATGCTGGAAAGACCAATTTTCACCGAACCCATGGGAATTGGTTTTGTACAAAACCAAGGAGAAAGGTGACGTGGAGGGTGGGGGAAGGAGGGGCGGGGGGAAGAAGATTATTGCTATCAAACAAAGACAAAGGTGGAAAATGGAAAATTTTCTTCTTAAAAACAGGCCCTTAAAGATGAATAATTAACTTAATTTCAAATTAAAGCCAAAACAGTCATCTTCATTTTTATCAGGGTCTGAGACTTTATTGTAGTCTCTTGAACTTGTAATGCTACCTTTGAAGAAAGACTGTTAATAACCTCTCATATCTTGAGGATTTAAATAGAGCCAAAATTGCCATTAATTATTATTTTTCAGAGAAAATTGAAATTTTTCTCATATATCATCGGGAAAATGACAACAATGCCCTAGACATAAGTACCACCCTCCACCGTAATTGGAGGCAGTTTCGCAAAGTCTACAATGTGGTGGAATGGCATGAAAATAGTTGGTCAATCATATGACAGAAAAGTTTAAGCTTTCATGTGCCTCTCTCTACAAAAGTTCTTTGTTAATACAACGAATTCATACAAGTTGATAATTATAAGTCCTTGTTTGAGAATTATTTTCTCTCATTTTTTTTCATATTCATTTTCAACTTCAATTTTACACACAAAAAATAATAAAATGAAAAGACTGAAAACATAAATAAGGAAGATATAAATATTATACGAAACAAATTCAATACATGATATTGTAGCTATACTTGAACATCAATTTAGTTGATTATCCTTCAATTTGTTTAAATAATAAGAGGGCTATAATTATTAATGGAAATGTTTTCTTGCCTACAGTGAGAAGTTTTATCTTGCCCACTTGGAGGAAACCATAAATAAGGTTCTTTTGTCACATCAGTAAATGGACAATTTTATTCTATTCATTGTAGGAGAACTATTTCGTAATTATTAAATAGCTATATCAGCATTATTAAATGAAGACTTACTCTTGGAGTCAACTCATGCCCATCCAGGAACCTAGCCTGTTTCTTCTTAAATCTGCCACTGAAGTAGCTTCATATTTCCATTCATCGGCTTGGAAACCATTTCAAGAACACAAGGTAAATTGGTTTCTCTTCTCTTTTGGCTCATCAGCTTCTTGCCGTAAAACTCCAGCATTGTTTTGACTGTGAGAGGTAAAAGCCACTTGAATTTTTCATACAAATCATATTTCTTGCTTCATTCTTTCTGAATGTTACTATGAAAAGTTTTTGATGTGCAATATGTCCACTGTCCAGCTATTTCTTATGAAGTGTTTATAAATCTGAAGTCAGAGTTAAGGACTAAATGCTATAATTTTATCTTCTTCTTTTTCTGATCTTTTACTGAGGTAGGGTTTGTGTGATTTGTGAAATAACGAAGTTCGGAAGGGGATATGAATAGGTGTGATATGCGAAATTTAAATTTATCAAGTAATTAATAGCAATAAGTCACAATTAAATATATTCAGATAAATTAAATCACGCAAATCTAAACTTAGATATCAATTAGGCAGTTTAAATATAGAGCCAAAGTTCCCATTAATTGTTATTTATTTAGAGAAAATTGAAATTTTTCTCTTATTGCATTGGTGAAATGACAACAATGCCCTAGACGTAAATACCACCATCCACTCTAATTGGGGGCAATTTCGTAAATTCCGTAATGTGGTGGAATGGCATGAAAATAGTTGGTCAACCATGTGATAGAAGAGTTTAAAGCTTTCATGCACCTCTTTCCATGAAGGTTTTTTTGTTAATAAGAGGAATTTATGCAAGTTGATAATTAAGCCCCCATTTTTTTCATTCTTTTCTCATTAAAATGAAAAATATGACCCTTATTCATTACATCAAACTACCAAATTTGAATTTCTATCTCTTGTGTGGAACCTGTAACTACTATATTTTTCATTCTTATTTTCACAAAAATGGAAAACAAGCGGGGGCTAAATCCTTTTTTTACAATCATTTTTTCAATACTCATTTTCAATTTCAATTTTCACAATATATATATATATATATATATATATTCACTTAAGTTCAACATTTTTTCTTATTTTTTAACCACATTTTCTCTCAAAATTTACTATTAAAAAATTCGTTATTTTTCAAAAAAAATTGTGAGCCCCCGTTTGTTTCTCATTATTTGCTCATTAAAATTAAAAATAGGATCGTTATCCATCACATTAAGCTACCATATTTGACTTTCTATCTCTTGTGTAAGGTCCGTAGCAGTTATATTTTTCATTTTTATTTTTACATTAAGCCCCCATTTGACCCCCATTACTTGGAAATAAAAATGGGGAGAATAGTATTTTTTTGAAAAATGAGTAGTTGAAAAGGAAGGAAAAGTTTTCGATTTACGTGTAATATTATTTTATAGAAAATTGTGTGGTTGAGAATAGGAGAGAGAAAAATGTAATGTAATTTAATTTAATGGGGATCAAACGGGGGCTAATGTGTACCAAATAGAGCCTCAATATGATAAAGAATTGCTTCTTTAGTATTTTTTATTATCAAAATAATCTTCTCTTTACTTAAAATGGATAAACCACATCTTTCAGTGGAAAAGTATCTTTTGATCAAGTAGCAAGTCATTGGGATGGTATGGGAAGCATATTCAATGATTAGAAAAATAAAATGAAAAGACTGATAATATAAGTAGTTATACTTGAACATCAATTTAGCTGATTACCCTTCAATTTGTTTAAATAATTAAAAGGGCTATACTTATTAACTAAAACGTTTTTCTGCACACAATGAGAAGTCTTATATTGACTACTTGAAGAAAATCGTACTTATAACTCTCACATTTGGAGAGAATCATAAGTAAGGTTCTTCTACACAACATCAAGTGGGTAGTCTTACGTAATTATTAAATACCTATATCAGCATTATTAAATGAAGACTTACTCTTAAAGTCAACTCGTGCCGTACAGGAACCTCCTATTTCTTCTGGCTCATCAGCTTCTTGTTGCAAAAACTCCATCATTAGTTTTGACTTTGAGAGGTAAAAAACACACCGTCTTTTAACAAAATTAGTTTTTATTTTTGAATTTTTCATACAAATTATATTTCTTGCATCATTTTTCTAAATGTTATTATGCAAAGTTTTTGATGTGCTTATTGTCCAGCTATTTCTTCCAAGTGTTTATAAATTTGAAGTGTAGAGTCAAGTTCTAAATGCTATAATTTTATCTTCTTTTTCTGTTCTTTTATTGTGGTAGGGTTTGTGTGATTTCTGAAATGATGAAGTTCGGTCCAACTAACACTTAGAGGGGTGAATATGTATCATATGCGAAATTTAAATTTATCATGTAATCAATTGCAACAAGTCACAATTAAATATATACAAATAATTTAAATCATGCAAATCTAAACTTAGATATCAATTATGCAGTTTAAATATTGCGAAAAGTAAATAACATCAATGAGTTACCGTCTGGTCCAAATACAACTAAACATTTGTAGATTTTGATCCCCAATCTATTGACGCAACGAAAGAAAGGAATTCAAGCGAAAACCTTAAGAACAAGAAATTTGGAATCCAAAATAAATTCACGAATTTATTAATGAAAGATAAAAAAACGAACTAAGCCCTTATTTATAAGGATTTACATAGAAACATAGTTTAGAACAACTAAAAGTAATGAAAAAGAAGTTTAGTCAAACTAGAATTGTAAAAAAATGAAAATAAACGAATTGACAAAAATAGCGCTAAAACTTTAAAAATCAATTTTCGAGGCCTAAACGAACTAGAACGGTCGAAATTCAATGTACATCACAGCGTAGCCCTGAGTATTGTTCCCTCGTCGTTCTCCTTCCAAAATGGCCTTATGAGAACGATCCAGAATCAAGATGATTTATTTCTACTAATTCTCTTTTTTCAATATACCCGATATGTCCTACATCATCTATAATCACCAAGGAACTTCTTGATTACATGCTCCAGCACAAGCTCCAGAACTCTGAAATATTTTATCTCCTGTGGATTTCCAAAAATGAACCCGTTCTTCACAATCTGAAACTCTAGTCACCTTTCTAGATCTTAAAAACCCTTATAGATGTAACAATAGATGTTGATTTAATGCTTTGAAATTTTGATTTTTTGATTATCTGATTCATTTGATCTTTGAAAATTGATGTTTGATAATCAAAATATGTTGTATAGGATCAAATAATGTTCAACCACACTTTAGGATGTTGAATGACTTAAAATAATATGAAGTATTTGGGTTGAAATAGGATTGGAAAACTTTGTAAAAATCATGAAACATGCATTGGCTATCCTAATCGTGCTCGAGTGCCAATGTAACTGCCATTGAGCGGCGGGCTTCTTGTAGGCGGTTGAGCTCCTACTTGGCGTACACGAGCGATTTTCTAGCTATTTTTTCTCCTTGGTTCATGTTTGATCTTCTTAGCTCCTTGTGAACCTATACCACTATCCCAAACAACTTTTTGACTTTAAATACAACTCTACTACTTTGATTTGGTCTAGAATTTGTCAATTTACAATTTAAACCTAACAAACTCCTCTTTTAGCATTCTGTGACAAAATTAAGTGGTGTTTGATCATTTTTCCTGAAATACATTCTCTCTTCTTTTCAACAACATTTTCTTCATTCAAATAATATTGTATGCAAATTTAAAAAATTTCCTTCTTTTTTAACCACACATTCTACCTTAATTTACTATTTCAAAATACATTCTTTAAAAAAAAAAATGTAGCTCAAAAACACTCTAAGTATTACAAAGACAAATTATGAAAAATTAAACAACTTCTATCTACCCAAGCCCCAATGACTCAACCGTATCTTGTTTTCCTTGTCTAACTTATTTCCTAAAATCAACAACTCAAATACCAAGTGTAAAACTGCGTGAAATAGTTATAGAAATAACATGTATCAGTTGACATAAATAATATGAGTATTAAACTAGATATATTAAGACATAATATTAATGTTAAGCAAAACACCAAAATCAATATCAATACTATAAACATCAAAACTTAATATGGCATAGCAAAATATCAAAAAAATTAAATACATATCAACTACAACATTCATACATCCGACTCCTATATGTCTCACTGTCCTCATCTCCATCATTCCAATGTTGGTGAATGCACTTTGCATTAGTCTAGAGAGCAGCAACATTAGCAATAAGGCGCTCAGAGGTGGATTGTAGTAGGGTAATGTCAGCCATCATACGAGCCTAGTGCTCAAGAAAAATAGATAATTGGCCCATAATCACCACTGAGGGGTCAATAGGACCAAAAGCAGGTGGAGGAACAATAGCAAAGGTCGAAGGTATATCACGATCAAACGAAGTAGGAACATCATGATTAGATGGAATAGAAATATCGAAAATAGGATTAGAAAATGGAGGTGAGACCTGAGGAGGCAGAGGTAGTTCATCGATCGACTTAGAAGAATTAAGAATGTGATACTTACTCTGAGCTAGAGTGACACGACCTGTCCCGATCACCCGATGAACCCGAAATGCGACGTACGGTGATGGTAAATGTTAACTAGATGTCAGATCTATCACCAAGGCTGATTATAAATTACTACAAAATATGCGACAAAATCAAATGTTTATAAAAACAAAGTGCAATGTGCCCAAAATAATTACTTCATATTTTACCAAAATGAATCATATCACTCAATATGTTATGTGACTCTAACTCTTAAATCACCAGACTCTTCAAGCTATCAACGATCAATATTACCTGTAAGAATAATTTTAGAAAAATATGAGCTGATGGCTCAGTGAGTGGAAGAGTTCGAAAATATTTATACTTTCTCATTTAAACATTTTTATCAAACATCGAGTTCATATCGTTTAATATTTTACATGATAGCCTCATACAAGTATAGATAAAAATTGAGACATTCTCATAACACTGTAAATATCATCTCGTAATCACGATATAGTCATCAGCTGATATCTATACCATCATCTCATCACATCACACGTGATCCACAAAAAATGTACCCTCCGACTAAAATTTGAAAGTCATCCCTCGGGCCAAACACTTTTGCCACGGGCCTTTGACCCCCTCCGTGAACGAAAGCGGGTCTCAAAGATCTCTAATAATCAATTTTAGAATACGGTCAATGCCTCTCAGTGAACTATATGTGCACGGTCACGGCCCTTTCGTTCCCAGTCGACCCCTTAATGTAGTATAGAACACAGTCAAGGCCCCTCGGTGAACTAAAAGAAGTATATAATTACGGATACTTTTATGGTCGATCTCAATATTACATGTCTCCCATTCCAAATCACAAATATTTTTACATCTAATCTTTGAATTCCAGAAATATCATAATGAAAGAATATTTCCAAAACAATTGTGTAATCGAACATATAAACGCACATAATGTATTAGTATAATTAATATATGAATTTTTAAAAATTTATAAGTTTTTCCAGTCACCGAGTTCTTAGCAATGAACTAGCTAGGTTTGTTGACTTTCCCCACTTCTATATCCACCTCCTGAATTGACAATATAATTACTCGAATCAAGACCAAACATGTTAAATATAATTCCTCATTTAAAGAATTTTCCACTCGGTTCACTCAAGTCCACTACTCAATTATTTCCTTATTCAAAGTAAATTATAAATAATAATTTACCCAATATATATAATCAATAGTAAATCTCATTAGCCTAACTATTCAGTTCCTGTTCATTTCTCCTTCAATAAAATTGACACTCATTCTAATTATTTTCCCCCAATACATCAAATTATAGAGCTTAATTTCAAGGTACACGGGTGGCTGATTATTATAATTGTTTTTCTTTACCAACTATACTTAATTGATATTACTTAATAATCCTTCTTTACTTAACTAATTAAAAAGAATTCGATTTAATTTCTACCCCATGTCATGCACACCAACTAATTAGAACAGAAAATCAAAGTTTTTCTTTACCTTAAATTGTACCCCGAATACAAGATTAATTCCCAACAAAAGATAGTAAAATTTGATAATGATTTCTTCCCCTCCTTCCTCTCCAACCTTCCTTTTTCCCTTTTCTCTTCCTTTCTTTCTGCCCTAGATTTTCTTTCTCGCCTGTGTTCGTATAAATATGTTTATGCAATTGATTTGTTTGAAATGGATTAATATGAAAGTCTTTCTCCACCAATCGAGCTTTTATTTTTCTTCTTTCTTCCTTAATTTTTTTTCCCGACCTTTTCTTTTCCTCTTTTCTTCCTTCCCTTTTTCGATTTCGGCTGCACCATTTTTCAGCCCGTGTGTATTTGTAATATGAAAGGGAATGAAAAGCTTCTACAAATGACACTTGTCTTCTACCACTCCCATATTTGCATTCAAGTCCCTCCTTTGATGTTTTATATAAAATCTAGTCATTAACTTTCCATTCTTGTAATCTAATCCCTAAGTTTAATTGCTTAGACCCTCAAATATTGTCAACTGCAAAATAACCCCCTAGAAAATAATTTATTCCATCTAAGTCCCTATTTGACTTGACTAATCGAACCTTTGACTTTAAAATACAAGCTTGACTTTGACTAAGAATGAGTAGGATGTAACATAGAGTGACCTGGCCAATAGGCGTAGTACACGCTCAAGTTCTCCATTGGGAAATGTAACTGCCAAATTGATCACTAACCTCTGAGAATGAATTTTGAAAGTATGTACTCTAATATCCTTGATTATTTTCTTTTTAAAAACTATACCACTTTTGAATAGTTCTCTCTTAAAATTATGATGTTCTCAATTCATTTACGTTTTACTTGCTCATTCAGTAGTGATATCATCATGTTTTATTAAAAATGCTTATCGAAAATAATTTTTTTTATATTGCTTTATGCAATCCACTAAAGACTAATTTTCCTGAGAAATTCCCCATGTTTACCATGCTTGAAATCATGCTATTGAAAATTGAAGATATCTGACAAAAGCTTGAATTATTTGGAAGATGGGGGTGTCACTTCCGCCGAAAAGAGTGGACCCTTTTTATTGTTTAAAGTAATTCATTGGAATTAGACTTTCTTGTAATTGAACTTAAAGATGAAATGAAGTATAGTTCAAATTAAAGCCAATACAATCATCTTCATTTTTATTAGGGCCTAAGACTTCATTGTCGTCACGGGAACTTGAATTGCTACCTTTGAAGAAATAATGCCAATAATCTTTGTCATATCTTGAGGATTTGAACAAGGAGCCAACGTTGCCATTATTTGTTAATTTTTTTTTTCTCAGAGAAAATTGAAAATTTTCTCTTGTTGCATTGGGAAATGACAAGAATGCCCTAAACATAAATACCACCATCCACCCTAATTGGAGGCAGTTTCGTAAATTCCACATTGTGGTGGAAGAATGATGCTACAAAATGGGGCTGTGACAAGCCCTTGATATGAAAATTTAAAAAATTTTAAACTTCAGATAAGGGGCAACCCCTGTCATAGGGGCTTGTCAAAGGCCCCTATTTGAGCAGCATAATTCGTGGTGGAATGGCATGAAAATAATAGGTCAACTGTGTGATAGAAAAGTTGAAACCTTTCATATACCTCATTCTACGAAGGTTCTTTGTTAATACATAGGAATTTATACAAGTTCATAATTAAGCCCTTATTTGACAGTCATTCTTTCTCTCTCATTTTTCCCTCTCATACTCATTTTTAATTACAATTCTCAGCAAAAAACTATTTTTCATTTAAGCTTCAAATTTTTTCTTATTTTTTAAACACATATTCTCTTAAATTTTATTATTAAAAAACTCATTCTTTCCCCAAAAATAAAAAAATAAAATAATCTGTCAATAAGATAAAGAATCGCTGTCTCTTTAATTTTTTAATTATCAAAATAATCTTCTTCTATTCAATTTAGTTGATTACCCTTCAATTTGTTTAAATCATCAAAAGGGCTATAATTATTTAATACTTATATCAGCATTAGTAAATGAAGACTTAAGCTTGTAGTCAACTAGTGCCCATCTGGGAACCTATCCCGTTTCTTCCTAAATCTGAGCTTCACATTTCCATTCACCAGCTTGGAAACAATTACAAGAACACAAGGCAGATCGGTTTCTCTTCTCTTCTGGCTCATCAGCTTCTTTCTGTTAAAACTCCAGTGTCAATTTTGACTTTGAGAGGTAAAAAAACACCATGTCTTTTAGAATAATTAATTATTATTTTTAAATTTTCATACAGTTTATTTTTCTTGCATCATTCTTTCCTAATGCTATTATACAAAGATTTTGATGTGCTTATTGTCCAGCTATTTCTTATCAAGTGTTTTATAGATATGAAGTGTAGAGTCAAGATCTACATGCTATAATTTTATCTTCTTCTTTTTCTGTTCTTTTACTGAGGTAGGGTTTGCGTGATTTGCTTTGTGCGTCTTATCTGTAGGCAATACCATGGGTGACATGCTAGCAAACATTGCGGTGAATGCAGCAAGTGATTATTACAACCTTGAGACAAAAATGCAAAATCTTAAGAGGAAGCTTGAACTACTCAATTGTCAAGAAGCTGATGTGGTTGCAAGGCTAGGAGAGGAAGAATGTCTTCCAGGGAAAAGGCGAAAACATGTGGTCCAATATTGGTTGAGTGAAGTAGTATCAAAGCAAAAAGAATTTGAAAGCTTGGAAGCAGATGTGAACCAAAATAGACGGGCTTGGCGTGTGTCCTTGGCAAAACGTGCTGATAAAATGTTTGAGGAAGTGACAATACTTACTGATCAAGGTGCATTTTCTGAGGGAGTTGTACTAGCTGTTAGCGAGACAATAAAGGAGAAATTTGTAACTGCAGAATGGAAAGGCCAAGGTTTTAAAGAAAAATTCCATGGAGTTTGGACGTATTTATTGGGGAATGGGGTGTCAAGTATTGGCATCTATGGTATGGGAGGAGTTGGTAAAACAACTCTGGCACAATGTATCTATAATGAGCTCAAGAATGAAAATTTGTTCTACGGTAATATATTCTGGTTCACCGTCTCACAAGATTTAAACATTTACAAGTTACAGAATGACATTGGAAAAGCATTGAATCTAGATCTTTTCGATGAAGATGATGAGCACAAGAGGGCAGCCAAATTGGGTTGGGCCTTGGAGAGAAGAAAGAAATTCGTACTCATTTTGGATGATGTCTGGAATTCTTTTCCGTACCAGAAGATTGGAATTTCTCCCTCTCATGCTGAATATGAATTTAAGATGATAGTAATTAGTCGATCACTAGAGGTGTGTCTTAAAATGGAATGCCAAGAATGTCTAAAAGTTGATATTCTTTCGGATGAAGAAGCTTGGGAGCTATTTATGAACAAACATAGCAATGGCAAAGAACTTCCACCCAAAGTCAAAGAGATAGCAAGAGAAGTGGTAAAGGAGTGTGCTGGTTTGCCTCTTGCAATTGTCACCATGGCTGGAAGCTTGAGGGGTGTGGTTGACATTCGTGAGTGGAGGGATGCCCTGGAAGAACTGAAAGAATCTTGTGTGGGACAAGATGACATGGAAAATAAGGTGTTTCCGATACTCTTGTGGAGTTTTAATCGATTGAGGGATCCAATACTAAAGAGTTGTTTCTTGTATTGTTCTCTGTATCCCGAAGACTTCCATATAAATAGATACGAATTGATCCAAAATTTTATTTCAGAGGAGATGATGGAAAGAAGAACAAGCAGGCAAGCATACTTTGACCAAGGTCACAAAATATTGAATAAATTGGTGAACGTTTGCTTATTGGAAACATGGGGAGGCGAACATGTGAAGATGCATGATCTAATAAGAGACATGGCTTTAAAGATCACTAAAGATAAATGGATGGTAAAAGCTGGACTTCAGTTAAAGGAAATACCAAAGGAGCAGGAATGGAAGGAAGATTTGGATAAGGTTTCCTTAATGCGAAACAATATAAATAATATTTGGAGCGTCGCATCACCCAAGTGTCCTAAACTTTCAACCTTGCTTTTAAACTTCTGTCCTCTGAAGTCGATTCCAGATTCATTCTTTTTGCATATGCGTGGCCTGCATGTTCTCAATTTGAGTAACACTCTGATTGAGTACTTGCCCAATTCCATCTCGGGATTGGAGGAACTTAATGCATTATTGCTCGGAGGTTGTCAGAGACTCAAGTTTGTGCCACCATTGGAAAACCTCAAGGCACTGAAAGAGCTGGACCTCAGTTATACTGGCATTAAGGAAATACCCCGAGGCGTGGAAAGTTTAACCAATCTCAAATGCTTGGACACAATTCGCTCTTGTATAAGAAAAATTCCAACAGGGATTTTACAAGGACTGTCACTTCAGCGTCTCTCACTCCCAACACGGATGAGAATACCAATAGATGAAGTTGCGGGATTGAAACAACTGGAAGAATTTTATGGCAAATTTCACAGCATGCATGATTTCAACATATTTATAAAGTCTCGACCAAGTGATGGGAAGCTCAATTTTTTTCATATTCTAGTAGGTAAGGATATTATTTATGAGAAAAAACTCTTCTTTCAAAGGTTTGAGGTTAAAAGGGTAACTTTTGGAAAAGACAGTCTAAAGAAAGGCAAAAGAGGCAAAGACGAGATTATGCTGCCACGAAATGTCGATTTCTTGATGTTTGACAGGTGTGGTCTGTGTAGCTGCTTATTTGATGATATCCAAGGATTAAATAGTGCTACAGAATTGAAGACCTGCTCTGTTTACGAGGAAGGAATAGTGTGCATTCTGAGAATGTCGCTTGAGATGGAACAACCGATGGTGGAAGAAGAACAACAGTCTAGCTTGATGCCACTCTATTACCTTGAAGATTTGAACCTTCAGAAGTTGCCGAATTTTATTGGTCTCATCAGGTGGGAAGTAGCACCAGCAGTTGCACCACTTCCACGTGGCCTTTTTTCTCACCTTCGAAAATTGTTGGTTGTGCAATGTGGGAAAATCAAGAAGCTTCTCCCTCGGAGTTTGGTACAGAACCTTCATAACCTCAACGAGCTGATTGTTGGTTCATGTGCAAAACTGGAGGAGATAATAGGAGATGAAGAAAGTGATGGAGGCTTCAGTGCAGAAAGTAATACCGTCATCACCCTGCCAAGGTTAAAGATTTTGGACCTTAGAGATCTGCCAGAATTGGAAATCATCTACAAGGGGACAATAATCTGTGATTCCATTAAGAAAATTCATATGGAGCGTATTACAAAAGTAAGGAAGGTGCCTTTTTCTCTGCCGCCTCTCGCAGTGACAGCAATGAAGGAAGACGAGGGAGGATGGTGGGATTCATTGGAGTGGGAGCAGCCCAATGCCAACCGTGTTCTTTAAGCCTTCGTTCATTCTACTGTTAGGCCTATTAATGTGTTGTCTGGGCTTAAATATGTAATTATTCTCTGTTCTTTGGGCTATTTATGGTTGTGGGCTTATTAGGTCGAAATTAAAATCGAGGCTTTGTTTTCGGCCCATTTTGAAACATTTAAATACTGCAAGGCCCTAATTCAGTAATTCTCGTCTTTAGCTCCGTTTCTTCCCAGTGGCTTCTCTCTGGTTCGCTCGACTCAGAAAAATCAGTCATGGGTAAATTAACCAAATAATCATAATCTAAGCATCTGTTTCACATTTGTTTTGACTAGATGATTAACGACAATGTGATTTGATTGTGTAGAATTGCAGGTAAGGTTCACGGATCATTGGCTCGTGCGGGTAAGGTCAGAGAGCAGACTCCGAAGGTGGTGAAGCAGGATAAGAAGAAGAAGCCCCGTGGTCGTGCCCACAAGCGGATGCAATACAACCGCCGCTTCGTCACTGCTGGTAATTTATGTGCGTCAATGCTAATTTTATGTTTTGTTTTCTAAATGGTTTTGTTTGTACGAGAAATAAAATATGAATAATAGTTTAACGTGGTGTTTTGGATTCTGGCAGTTTAGTACTCGAGGAAAAGTGTTCTTGCTATTTGCTGGACACAATCTATCCATGTTATGGAATTCGCAGTGTTTAATTTGAGATAGAGATTGCTTATGTTTTCATTGGAAACTATGTCAGTATACATTAATTGGTTCTTAGAAAGTTGTATCAATACAGCCACCCTGTGGAACACATGACAGACGCTTAAAACCTGCTTACTGAGGGTTTCTAATTAGTTATAAGCGCACACACTGAGTTTCAAAGTCACTTGCAGTTAGAGTGATGTTTATGTCATTGATATGACTACATTGGGAAAAAATCAACTTTAAAATAAGATTGTTAAGGTGCCTCAAGTTGGTATAAGCTGGCAAAACCAAAACTCGACTACGCGGATGCAATCAGAATCACTTTTTATTTTGTGTTTCTTTTTTCGCTTAATTAAAATTAAAACTATTTATAGGGTCGTTCGA